AGGCATATCAGACCTGAAGACTTTGCTCAAAACATTTTAGCCTTCATTCCAGCAAGTACCTGGCTTCATGGTGCTGGTCCTCACCTTGCTGGTGGCTCACAGGTTTTCAAAATGACAGATGCCAACATGCCACTGCCCTTCAGACACCCAATCCCTGGTGCCAGGATCATCCTTCTAAAGGCCATGTTTCTTGCAGATCCACCAAGAGAACCCTAAGCAATAGATTCTCAAAAGGGCTCTGTGTTTTCTGAGCTCTCCTCCTTCTCTCTTTTCTTCCTTCCTCTTTTCTTCTTTTTCATCTTCTTTGGTTTGGATTCCTGGTTGCTGAATGAGTTTTAGAAAATGCTTTTATTTTCAGCCACAGTTTTTGAAACACTGAGAAGCTTCCAGGCCATTTTACCGCCATTCACCTCATTTTAGGGACTCACTTGTCAACAGATTTAAATAATGCGGGATATGGGAAGTTTCGGTAAAGAAGATATTTCCTCCCCTGAGTCTACTCCTACCTGATGCCTTTTCTGCAGGAGGAAAGTGTCTTTCCCCCTCTGTTTTGAAAAATTTAACTCAAATGTCCCAAGCCCTTTGGCCAGTGGGTGCAAATTTAGCCACATTCTGCTGTGTTAATAGTACTCCCCACAGAACTGTAGAGTCTCCCTTCCCTTACAGAGTTCCTCCACTCGTGTAACCCCAACATGTGAACATGTGTGTTGTTAATTTAATGTGTTAATTTAATTTGTGATGCTGGGTGTGGTGGCTCACACCTGTAATCCTAGCACTTTGAGAGACAGAGGCAAGTGGATGACTTGAGCCCAGGAGTTCGAGACCAGCCTGAGCAACAGGGTGAAATCTTGTCTTTGAAAAAAAAAAAAACCAAACAATTAGTTCAGGTGTGGTGGCTTATGCGTGTGGCCCCAACTTCTTGAGAGCCTAAGTGAGGAAAATCGCTTGAACTGGGAAGCAGAGGTTGCAGTGAGACAAGATTGTGCCATTGCACTCCAGCCTGGGCAACAGAGCAAGACTCCATTTCAAAAAAAAAAAAAAAAACCTTTCTGCCTTGATGAAGTGTCTGTTCTTGAATGGTGCTGTCCAATATGACTTCCCACAATGATAGAAATGTCCTTTGCTGTATTAGACAATAGCCACCAGCCACATTTGCTCCTTGAGCACTGGGAATGTGACTAGCATGACTGTGGTACTGAATTTTTAATCCTATTTCATTTTAATTAAACTCAAAGGCCACGTGTGGCTAGTGGCTACCATATTGGGCAGAATGGTTCTGGAGGGAGATGCAAGTGATAAACAAGTGGATAGAAACTTGTTCCTCTTTTAACCACAAAACATCAAAGTATGATGTCAGCTACTGAAGAGTGCCGTGAAGAAAGCCACGCGGGGTGAGGAAATGGAGAGTGCTGGGGAGGTGTTGTTTTGCAGAGGGGCGGCTGTCAGCGAAAGCCTCCCTGTGGGAGGGTGACTTTTCAATGGAGACCTGAAAACCAAGCCGCTGTCTCTCTGGGTGGGATGTTCTGGCAGAGGCGCTATGAGGGGAGTGAGGTCCTGACAGAGCCACTGGAGCGTGAAGGGCGGTGGGAGAGGGGAGCCGGGGCCGGAGCTTGCCGGGTCTTGGTGGTGCCATTGCTGGAGATGAACTCTGGAGGCGGGGAAAGTATTTGAGAGGTGAGATCAAGACCTGAAGATCACGGCAGGTGGAGGCTGGAGGTGGCAGTTTAAGCATGGTCAATAAAAAGAAGCAGCTGCCCTCTTCTCTGGTTTGCCCCTGTCCTCTCCTCACTGCTGCCTGAGGAGCCTGCACCCCACTGCTGATGAATTTGACCAGTCTACACATGCCGGTGCTTTCATCTTAGAGGGGCCAGGTTCTGGGTTCACCAGTGGGGGAATGGCCCTCTGCCAAGCCCTGCCCAACTGTGTCACCTGAGCCCCTAAGCAGGTGGACGTGGGCCTAGACTCTCAGAATTGTTTGTGAAAATAAGTTCTTCCTTTCGGCCTTTATGCCTTCTCTTCAGTGGGACTCAAACCCAGGCCCATGGGAGGGGCCAGAGATGAGATGTCATCTCCTGCGTTCCCCTCCCTTTCCTTCCTTTCCTGGAGGTCGGGGATCTTTGTTTCAAAACATGTCTCCTGCCTCCTTTAGCCCATCAGCTCTCCATTCTCTGTTAACTAATAAGCAAATTGTTCCTGTACTTCCAAATCATCATTTGTTTAATGCAGTTCCAATCAAAATTCTAATAGAATTTTATTTCACAGGTGATATTGATTCATGAGACTAGATTATCAAAATAACCAAGAACTGTTTTGCGAAAAGAAAGAGTAATGAGGAGGAACTCCACTAGATATAAAAATGTACTCTACACTTACAAAAGTTCTTTTAGAAGCAAGGCATAAGTGCAGTACTCAATAGCTAGATCAATACACAGATTAGATAACCTGGAACCAACCCTAGTAGATACAAAGTTTGTGTATGATAAATGAGGTTGCTCAAAAATTAGTTAGAAAGGAAATAATAATGCATGCTGCTGAGATGGTTGGTAACTCTCAAGAAAAATGGTTAGAATTGTGTCTTACAGCTTAACCCAAGATAAATTCAATAACAGATGAGTTAAATGCAAAAATAAAGTTAAAACATTCTTAAGAAAATGTAGATTAATATATTTCAGCTATCAAGACAGGGAATCACTTCCTAAATATAAAATCACAATGGAGGAGGCTACAAGAGAAAAAAATTGGTAAATATATTAGCTAAAAATTAAAATTTCTACACGTTAAACATTAAAAATGTATATAATATGCACAACTGAAAGATAAATGATAGGGCCAGGCGTGGTGGTTCACGCCTGTAATCCCAGCACTTTGGGAGGCTGAGGCGGGTGGATCACCTGAGGTCAGGAGTTCGAGACCAGCCTGGCCAACATGAAGAAACCCCGTCTCTACTAAAAGTACAAAATTAGCCTGGCGTGATGGTGCATGCCTGTAATCCTGCTACTCAGGAGACTGAGGCAGGAGAATTGTTTGAACCTGGGAGGCAGATGTTGTGGTAAGCCAAGATCATACCATTACACTCCAGCCTGGGCCACAAGAGCAAAATTTCGTCTCACCAAAGAAAAAAAAAGGTAAATGATAGACTGGAGAAAGTTTTGCAACAAACTAAGTAAAGCATTAGTATTATTTATGTAAAGAGAACTCTTGCAAATTCATAATAAAAACCACAGAACGTCAAAATATAAAAATGACATAAGCAGACAATTTACAAAAGAATATAAATAGTGAACAAATCTTTGAAAACAATTAAACCTTATTGTCAATCAAGAAAAGCATACAAGCATATTAAAACAGTTTTCTTGGCCAGGCAAGGCTTACGCCCACGATCCCAGCACTTTGGGAGACAGAAGCAGGTGGACAACTTGAGCCCAGGTGTTGGAGACCAGCCTGGACAACATGGCAAAATCCCTGGACAACATGGCAAAACGCTGTCTCTACTAAAAAATAAAAATAAAATGATTAGCTGGGCATGGTGGTGTGTGCCTATAGTTCCAGCTGCTCGGGAGGCTGAGGCAGGAGGATTGCTTGAGCCCGGGAGATAGAGGTTGCAGTGAGCTAGAATTGTGCCACTGCACTCCAGCCTGGGTGACTGAACCAGACTCTGTCTCAGAAACAAACAAAAATCCAAAAAACTGTTTTTCCCTGTCTAATCAGCAAGGCTTTTTAGCAGTAGTATTTTACCTAGGCTGGATTGTGAATCAAGCCCTCTCATACACTACCAAAGAAAAGGCCAACTGAGGCCAACACTCTACCGTATATATGGGTCAAGAGAACCACTTCTAGGCATCCATCCAAAGGTAGTTATCAGAAATAAGGATTAAGGTTATTCACTGCAGTTTTGTTGATAAGAGTCAAAAACTGGAAATAAATGTTCAACAAAAGTCCAATTGCTATAAAAAAGAATGACTTTATGTCCTTCACAGGGACATGGATGAAGCTGGAAGCCATCATTCTCAGCAAACTAACACAGGAACAGAAAACCAAACACCACATGTTCTCACTCATAAGTAGGAGCTGAACAATGAGAACACATGGACACAGGGAGGGGAACATCACACACTGGGGCCTGTCGGGGGGTGGGGGACAAGGGGAGGGAGAGCATTAGGACAAATACCTAATACATGCAGGGCTTAAAACCTAGATGATGGATTGATACGTGCAGCAAACCACCGTGGCACATATATACCTATGTAACAAACCTGCACATTCTGCACATGTATCCCAGAACTTAAAATAAAATTTTAAAAAAGAAGTCCAATGGCTGAACACATCATGTGTGGTATATCCCTATAATGCATGTTATTACACTGTAGGGATAGACCATGCATGACTTTCACCACGTGATGAAATAATGATTTTTTAAATCATCATTTTGCTCACTATTTTTGGAAATGGGAAACTGTTTAAGTGAGATGAACAATAAAACTACAATATTGGGGGGTGATTGCTTTTTTTTTTTTCTTTTATACTTTTCTGCGTTTTCTGGATTTTCTATTGTGATTTTGCCTTTATGATAAGCAAAATGTTCATATCTGTCTTCTAACGCCTGGATAAATTTCACTTGCCAGCCCTGGGGACATGTCTGGCTTCCGAGGTACCGTATCTAAAAGCGGCTTGCAAGCACACCATCTGCGACATTCCCTCTCACCACTTCAGAAGATTTTAGTACCTGTCTACCTTTCCTGTATTCCTTTGTCTCTAAACATGAAATGGTGACCCTCATCCACCTTTGCTTGGTTTGGGCCTGTTCTCACCTCCTTCCCAAAAAAAGGAAGAGAAAAATAATGCAATCTTTCTTGTTTATAAGCACTTTCACGCCATCTGGGCATACATAGGTGTTCGATTTGGGTGCCAGTTGAGATGGGTCATGGGAAAACTCATAAAGAAGTGCCAGTTTCTTTTGCCTTGTGAAGAGACACTGACCCCGTCTTTTTTCTTGCCCACAGATATGATGCTTCCTGGTGTGTTTAGTGGTTGGTGCCATTGCAATTTTCTGTGCTGAAATCATTCTGAAAACTCAAACAGTAGACTTCAGCATACAAGGAAAGCCAAAGCCATTTGAGGGGGAATAAAGCCAAAAGCCCTTCACCTTATTCGTTCCAAGAATCTCACCATCCCCTCCCTACCCCCCTCCAAAACTAAGCCATTGCACACAGACAGGCAGCATGGCTAGCAAACGAAAATCTACAACTCCGTGCATGGTTCGGACATCACAAGTAGTAGAACAAGATGTGCCCGAGGAGGTAGACAGGGCCAAAGAGAAAGGAATCAGCACACCACAGCCTGACGTGGCCAAGGACAGTTGGGCAGCAGAACTTGAAAACTCTTCCAAAGAAAATGAAGTGATAGAGGTGAAATCTACGGGAGAAAGCCAGTCCAAAAAACTCCAAGGTGGTTATGAGTGCAAATACTGCCCCTACTCCACGCAAAACCTGAACGAGTTCACGGAGCACGTCGACATGCAGCATCCCAACGTGATTCTCAACCCCCTCTATGTGTGTGCAGAATGTAACTTCACAACCAAAAAGTACGACTCCCTGTCTGACCACAACTCCAAGTTCCATCCCGGGGAGGCCAACTTCAAGCTGAAGTTAATTAAGCGCAATAATCAAACTGTCTTGGAACAGTCCATCGAAGCCGCCAACCATGTCGTGTCTATCACCACCAGCGGCCCCGGAACTGGTGACAGTGATTCTGGGATCTCGGTGAGTAAAACCCCCATCATGAAGCCCGGAAAACCAAAAGCAGATGCCAAGAAGGTGCCCAAGAAGCCCGAGGAGATCACCCCTGAGAACCACGTGGAAGGGACCGCCCGCCTGGTGACAGACACAGCTGAGATCCTCTCGAGACTCGGAGGTGTGGAGCTCCTCCAAGACACATTAGGACACGTCATGCCTTCTGTACAGCTGCCACCAAATATCAACCTTGTGCCCAAGGTCCCCGTCCCACTAAATACTACCAAATACAACTCTGCCCTGGATACAAATGCCACGATGATCAACTCTTTCAACAAGTTTCCTTACCCGACCCAGGCTGAGTTGTCCTGGCTGACGGCTGCCTCCAAACACCCAGAGGAGCACATCAGAATCTGGTTTGCCACCCAGCGCTTAAAGCACGGCATCAGCTGGTCCCCAGAAGAGGTGGAGGAGGCCCGGAAGAAGATGTTCAACGGCACCATCCAGTCAGTACCCCCGACCATCACTGTACTGCCCGCCCAGTTGGCCCCCACAAAGGTGACGCAGCCCATCCTCCAGACGGCTCTACCGTGCCAGATCCTCGGCCAGACGAGCCTGGTGCTGACTCAGGTGACCAGCGGGTCAACAACCGTCTCTTGCTCCCCCATCACGCTTGCCGTGGCAGGAGTCACCAACCACGGCCAGAAGAGACCCTTGGTGACTCCCCAAGCTGCCCCCGAGCCCAAGCGTCCACACATCGCTCAGGTGCCAGAGCCCCCACCCAAGGTGGCCAACCCCCCGCCCACGCCAGCCAGTGACCGCAAGAAGACAAAGGAGCAGATAGCACATCTCAAGGCCAGCTTTCTCCAGAGCCAGTTCCCTGACGATGCTGAGGTTTACCGGCTTATCGAGGTGACTGGCCTTGCCAGGAGCGAGATCAAGAAGTGGTTCAGTGACCACCGGTATCGGTGTCAAAGGGGCATCGTCCACATCACCAGCGAATCCCTTGCCAAAGACCAGTTGGCCATCGCAGCCTCCCGACACGGTCGCACCTACCATGCATACCCAGACTTTGCCCCCCAGAAGTTCAAAGAGAAAACACAGGGTCAGGTGAAAATCTTGGAAGACAGCTTTTTGAAAAGTTCTTTTCCTACCCAAGCAGAACTGGATCGGCTAAGGGTGGAGACCAAGCTGAGCAGGAGAGAGATCGACTCCTGGTTCTCGGAGAGGCGGAAGCTTCGAGACAGCATGGAACAAGCTGTCTTGGATTCCATGGGGTCTGGCAAAAAAGGCCAAGATGCGGGAGCCCCCAACGGTGCTCTGTCTCGACTCGACCAGCTCTCTGGTGCCCAGTTAACCAGTTCTCTGCCCAGCCCTTCGCCAGCAATTGCAAAAAGTCAAGAACAGGTTCATCTCCTGAGGAGCACGTTTGCAAGAACCCAGTGGCCTACTCCCCAGGAGTATGACCAGTTAGCGGCCAAGACGGGCCTGGTTCGAACTGAGATAGTGCGTTGGTTCAAGGAGAACAGATGCTTGCTGAAAACAGGGACCGTGAAGTGGATGGAGCAGTACCAGCACCAGCCCGTGGCAGATGATCACGGCTACGATGCCGTAGCAAGGAAAGCAACAAAACCCATCGCCGAGAGCCCAAAGAACGGGGGTGACGTGGTTCCACAATATTACAAGGACCCCAAAAAACTCTGCGAGGAGGACTTGGAGAAGTTGGTACCCAGGGTAAAAGTAGGCAGCGAGCCAGCAAAAGACTGTTTGCCAGCAAAGCCCTCAGAGGCCACCTCAGACCGGTCAGAGGGCAGCAGCCGGGATGGCCAGGGCAGTGACGAGAACGAGGAGTCGAGCGTTGTGGATTACGTGGAGGTGACGGTCGGGGAGGAGGATGCCATCTCAGATAGATCAGATAGCTGGAGTCAGGCTGCAGCAGAAGGCGCGGTGGAACTGGCCGAATCGGACTCCGACTGCGTCCCTGCAGAGGCTGGCCAGGCCTAGACAGGTAATTCCACCTGCTCACCCAGGCAGCAGCGGAGAATGCAGCTTGCTTTCTTTTCGTTGCCAGGGTTGGTATAGATTGTAGGGTACAGAGATGTTGACGTAGATGGTGGCTTCTTTCTCTTGTAATTAACAAATAAGAATGGTGTATTTTGATCACGTACAACCTGATGTTTTGAAATATGTTTACCTAGTGGGATGGCTCAATCAAGCTGATTCACGTATGCATTACCTCACATACTTATTCTTGTAGTGGAAGGGTCTGGTTTTGGTTTTGGTGTTTTGTTTTGTTTTTAGTGACAGAGTCTTGCTCTGCCACCCAGGCTGCAGTGCAGTGGCTCCATCATAGGTCATTGCAGCCTCAAACTCCTGGGCCCAAGCGATCCTCCCACCTCAGCTTCCTAAGTAGCTGGGACTTCAGGCACCTGCTACCACACCCAACTAATATTTTAAATTTTTGGAAGAGGCGGGGTCTCACTTTGTTGCCCAGGCTGGTCTCAAACTCCTGGACTCAAGCAATCCCTTTACCTCTGCCTCCCAAAATGCTGGGATTACAGGCATGAGCCACTGAGCCTGGCTGATGAGTTATTTGTAAAGGTTCTTTGAAAAAGGAAGAGAAATGGGGGCTGATGGAACCTATGCCCTCATTTGTAAGGCTGTGCCCAGGGAACAGCACTGCTGGCTGTGGCCTGTTTGGGTGCCAGCCTTCAGGCCTGTCCATTCTGAAGTTTAGTTGTGACTGTTAGAAAGCACATCCTCCCTCTGTGTTTTATGTTTGTTGCTGTAAAAACACCAAACATAAAGTGGTTGTTTCTTTTTCTCTCTCTCTTTTTTTTCCCCTTTTCTTTTTGGATTTTTTAAAAATACGTATCCACGTTTACTGAATCAAAGACTTGAGGTTATTCTAATCGGAAAAGGCTTTGAAAGTGCTTGGTATTTGCCTTGTCAAGGCTAAAGGAAGGTGCCACTGTGCTTGGGTCCCCATAACCCCTTCAAATCTGGAAGAGCCGGGTGTAAATTAGGCCTGTAGAACCACACAAGCCATGGGGAAGGACGGTTTCCATGGTTACTAATGGCCGTGTCATCCCCATAATGGGACATGCCACTGAAGCCCTTGGTGTTCTGCTTCCTAAGAGGTCAGTGCAAATCCAGGCCTGAAGCACAGCAGCTCGGTGGTGAGTTGAGAAATGGGGGCGGTGGCAGGGGGAGGGCTGCAGGAGGGAAAGGAAATATTACAAGGAGGAAGATACACGGTTTGCCCAGGTAGGCTTCTCCAGAGGTCACTCAAAAGACCACAGAATGGGCCTCCCCAGTTATCTTTACAAAGGATAAAATAAATGTAAGAACCTCCCGAATGACTGATAAGGTCCCAAAGGCAGCCCTGGAAATTACCACACCTCTGTCTTAATGAACTTGGACAACTTTGGCCAACCACGTCGCTCATTAACTCATTGATTCAGTAATAAAATGAGGCAGCTGACAAATAAATGAAATTCTCTAGAAACCTTGTTTTGGCCAGTTCCATCCGCTATTAAAAGAGCACTTTAACGAGCAGTCCGTCCCAGAATGCCATCATTCTCCATTCTCCTTTTTCCTCCCACTTGGAGGAGGAAATGCCTGTGTGTCAAAGGTGCGGGCGCAGCCCAAAGGGGAGGGCACGAGTGAAAGGACGGGGATAGAAGTGCACTGAGGCCACAATGACAGCAACCTCCCACCTCTACCTAGCCACCTCTGGCCATTTTCCCACCTTGGGAGAACCTACCAGTCTAGCCCATACCCCCCTCATTAAAATGAGAGGGTGATTTTTTGTTTGTTTGTTTTTGGTCCACATGAAAGCTCCTTGCTTGCCCCATCTTTTTTGTTTGTTTGTTTGTTTGTTTGAGACAGCGTCTCACTCTGTTGCCAAGGCTGGAGTGCAATGGCACGATCTCAGCTCACTGCAGCCTCCACCTTCTAGGTTCAAGAGATTCTCCTGTGTCAGCCTCCCAAGTAGCTGGAATTACAGGCATGTGCCACCCCACCCAGCTAATTTTTGTATTTTTGGTAGAGACAGGATTTCGCCATGTTGGTCAGGCTGGTCTCAAACTCCTGACCTCAGATGATCCACCCGCCTTGGCCGCCCAAAGTGCTGGGATTACAGGCGTGAGCACCCACGCTGGGCCTCCCATCTTCTATCCTTGATCTTTTCCCGCCCATGACACTTGTCTGCATGATTGCTTTTTCCTCCCACCCCAGAGAGGACAATAGGATTCAGTTCCATTCAACAGTACCTTCTGAGCGCCTACTGTGTGCCTGCTGCTACTCCAGGTGCTAGAAACAGTGCCATGAGAGAGACAGACATCACAGTATCCATTCACATGGAGCTCGGGCAGGCCAAGAAGAGAGGAAATCGCACTTTCCTTTACTCATCACTGTGATATGTGTTACAATGGGGAAGGGCACAGCTCTGTGTGGGGGCTCAGAGGAGGAACACCCAGGTCGGGGGTTAGGGAGCTTCTCCGAGAAAGGGACATCCGACTCATGGGATGAGAACGAGTTAGCCAGGTGCACAGACAAGGGAAAGAAGGGTCCAAATGGAAGAAGCAGCATGGCCAAGGTCCAGAGACAAGAAAAGGAATGGCACTAGTGAGAAACCAAAAGAGGTTGGGCATAGCCAAAAGGTAGAGCTTGGGTTCGGTAAAGGATAAGAGGAGACAAACTGAAAGCAAACTCAACAGTTTCCCATAACAGGCGAAAGCTATTCTGAACAAGTTGTGCTTGCTGAATTTGAATAGAAAGATGTTTAGTGTCTCTGTATCCCAAGGTAAGCTCAGATGGCACTTCCAGGGCCCCATGGCTGAGCAGGAGGTTGTCTAGGGGCAGCAGTTCTCCAGAGGCCCCTGAGGCCCCCGTCCCCATCTCTCCTCTCCTAAGCTATACCACCACCACCAGCTGAAAATGCTCATGGGGGTGGGATGTTACCCTGGCTGATGCCTCAGTGGCCCAAAGAAGACAGTAATGAGGGAGGGAATGTTAAAATCATACAGAAAACTTTGGGGAGGAAGGATGGAGTGATGAACGAAGGCCACCTGAATAGCAGAGGTCGAGGTTGGTGCTCTGCTCTTACTTAATTCTCCTCGGGAGGTAGCTTCTCTATAGTTTTATAAACCCAGAAACAGACTCAGAAACCAAAGAACTTACCCACATTCACCCAGCCAACACATGAGTTTGTCTCCAGAGTCCTCACTCTTCCTCCTGCCATCTTTACCTCGTTGTTTCTGACAGAAATTCTCCATTTCTAGTTGATACCTCCCTTCTCAGGACAGGGACTAGCTGTGTCCGGGAGAAAAAAAAAAAAAAGGAGCATACAGGAACCCCACTTTATGTTTCTTTATGGTAAATGCCCCAACCGTGAGCTAGAAAACATCCCTAAACAGGATGCTAAGATCTGTTCCACATGTGGCAACATCAGATATCCCTGATGGCTCCCTGATATTTTGGAGGTCCATTGTTTTGTTTTGTTTTGAGACAGAGTCTTCCTCTATGGCCCAGGTTGGAGTCCAGTGGTGCCATCTTGGCTCACTGCAACCTCCGCCTCCCAGGTTCAAGCAATTCTCTTGGCCTCAGCCTTCCAAGTAGCTGGAACTACAGGTGCGTGCCACCATACCCAGCTAATTTGTGTATTTTTTTTTTTAGTAGAGATGGGCTTTCACTGTTGGCCAGGCTGGTCTCAAACTCCTGACCTCAGGTGATCCACCAGCCTCAGCCTCCCAAAGAGCTGGGATGACAGGCGTGAGCCACCACGCCCCACCATTGGAGGTCCATTGTATTGAGAAAGGGGCTGCCGTCTGCACTAGGGGTGGCATTGAAGGTTCTCCCACATCCTGGACAGAGGCACTCCTTAAAGGATTCTTTCAATTTAAAGGGAAAAGATATCTCTCCAAATTACTTCACAGTTTTCATGAACCAAACACATGAGTCTCTTGAATTCATAAATATTCAGTGATGTCCCTATTTAAGTACTTATTTATTTAGGAACCTGCAGTTCAGTTCAGTTATGACACATAATAATCCTGAAATAATTCATGGTTTTGACTTTATAAAAGGTGTTATGTGATGCGCAAGAGGGTGAAGGGGGAGGAACTTGAGCAAGCAGCTGAGAGCTGGCTCTAGGACTAGATTTCCTCTGTAGGCGTTAAGCATTTCCTGCAACCAAATATCTCTAAACTCTGCAAGGCTTAGGACAGCATTTGACTCGGTCTAGACTCACCTCGGCCCTGAGGTTAGGCACAAAGATAAGGAGTACTTCCCAGCCTTTGAATTGTGTTGTCTTGATTCAGTCCCTGTGTCTGAAGAATCTTTGAGTCATTCCTTTGAGGGACCTGTCCTAGGAAAAGGCTGAAAATTAGGTTTGTTTTTTCAGAAAAATGAGTCAACGTACTTGAGCAAGACATTGTCAGACATCAGCCTTGATGTTTGGTCAAACAGAATATTCCATTACTATTGCTAGTGAGGGTACCCATTGACTGACATCCACTGTGTGTTCAGTTGCCTTCTAAGCACATCTACGAAGTTATTTCAACTTCATGCCCACCCTGTGAGGTAGGTACAGGCTTTTCCCCATTTTACAGAGGGCAAAACTGAGGGTCAGAGAAAATGAGTGACTTGCCCTGTGTTCCTCAGCCAACAGCTGGAAGACCTTGGAAGCCACCTCTCAACTGTCAGGCCAGTGCCTGACCCCAGCCACTTTGGCCCTGCCCTCTCCAACAGTGGCACCCACCACCACAGCCCAGAACAAACAGAGTGTGGTCATTTCTTGATTTTGTGTGGGAGTGGAAACTAATCCACAATGTATTCTTTCAGCAAGAACTTTAGAGAGCCCTCTTTGTGCCAGGCACTGTGCTAGTCTGTGTAGATTTGCCAGAATGACCAAGACACAGCCCCTACCTAATCTCAGTTAATAAAGGTGAGAAATGGACATAGAAACACCAGTTTCATGAGAGCAGTGCACACAGAAACCAGAGG